CCTATTTTACTACACACCCCTTCTACTCCTTCCCAACCTCCACAGCAAACTTCTGCATCAATTTGTTTCTTTTCAAGTAATAAAAATGGCAGAAATTAGTCCACAGATTCAAGAAAGGTCGAAAGAAGGGTTCGTGGCAGAAACGGCAACGCCGGATGTTCGTAATGTGGGTATGAAAATCAAGAGAGCTCAAGAGATGCACAAAGCATATGGTGGAGGGATTGAAGACAAGCCCTCAAAGGGTGAAGTTATGACATGGTATTTGTATGGCTTGTGCTCTTACTTTGTGCACACTGTCCTTATTCCTATTGTCTTCCCACTTATCATCAGCCAAACAGTCCCTTATCCACCCGAGCCTCCGCAGGGTTGGCTTACGAGCTACAAGGGTTTGAAGTGCAAGCAGAGTGAAATGCAACTGTAAGTTATCTGTCTTTTGTTCCGTAATATCTGTCTTTTTTAAGATTTTTGCGCACGCACATATTAAGAAACTCGATAAACGTGGCTTGGAAAAAAAGATAGAATATTTAGACGAAAATACCCTTGTCCACTAGTTCTCATCTTCTAATGTTGGAGAGAGTTAAGTTGAAAAATATGTAACGGATGCAGTATTGGAATTCTAAAGTGACAGATGTTATGCGGTTTTATAGTATACTGATCTCCATCCTTTTTATCGACAGATATGAAGGACTGGTAAACAGGGCAATCAAAGTAGGTGGCATGAGTTTCTCCCCACTCGAATGGACTTCGGTTTCTTGGATAACCGGCCTAATTCTATCGGCACCGATACTAGGCATCGTCTCGATTCTCCTCGACCACAGCCACTACCAACAGCTGATTGCCGGAGCCGCCACCGGAATCGGCGCCCTCTTCTGCCTCCCGGCCGGATTCTTCCGGAAGTCGTGGATCTTCCCGCCCTACATCGCCGCCATTGTGGCGGCAAACACCATAGTCGGGGCGGCCCACGCCCGCCACCTAGGACTAATGATCCGCGGGTTCACGGGTCCCACAGTACCGAAACGCGAGTTCCCGAACAGAAGATCGTTCGGGAGCTGGCTTTCGCTCTACTCAACAGCCGCCGGCTGTTTAGGAGCTGCGATCATAGCTTCCTTCACTTACCACATGTTTAGCAACTCCGACCATTTCACCGCTTTATGGGTTGTTTCGATATTTAGTGGCTTAAAATGGGGTTTAGGCATGATCCACATTTTCAGCACAAACAGAGCAATTTCGAATTTCAACGACTCGGAATCGAATTCAGTTCTTAAAACTCACGTGCTTTCTATTTTTAGATACCCTCATGCGGCGGGGAGTCTTTTTGGGGTTTTTCTTTCGTCTTTTACGAGTATGTGCGTGTTCGGAGGGGGGTTGTTGTATGCAATAGGGTATCTTTGCATTAAAACGGAGGATATT